AGTGCTAGTTCAGTAATCGTTGTGCGAGGTGTGGGAGGGGGAAGTGTGCGGAGGAAGGCACCGGCGTACCGCGGCAGACGGCAGTCCCTCTGGGAAGCGCTGTCACCGAGGGGGAGTCGCCTGTACAGGACGACCTGCAGGCTGACGGGCACCAGTATCTCAGCACCTACTAAGTTTGGGTTGTACTTTAGCCAAAGCTGCAGGATGTCTTGGTTTTAGCAGGATAAAAATGAAAAATGAGAAAAACAAGAAGAGAAGCAGAACCCGAGGCCCCTGTCTGTACTGAACTGAATCCAAGAAGAGATGGAAAATTTCACAGCTCAAAAATGAATTATTCAAAGATGGGGAGCAATCTTCTGGAATTCACCGAGAGGGAACAGATGCTCCAAGGAAACCGTACCGACTTGCAAATGAAAGGTCCACAGATCTCAGATATGTCGACGGCCTTTAAGTCAGGTTGCAGAGCAGAGACGGCGCCCACAGCCCCGGGACGCACCGAGGAGCCTGGACGCACGTGGGCAGGGCTTCAGGGCGAGAGGAGAGCCGCGTGCAGCCTCACAAAGCTCGACCATGAACTGGCCTGGGGCTGGGTCTCCCTGGCAGGTGCTGCGCCACCCAGAACGTCCCCAACGCTTGTCCCCAAAACAAAGGCAGGAAGAGAAGGACCGCCTCGTCCATCTCCTGAGATGGAGACCCTGAAATGTGCTGAGTAAACGCAGTCCTTTTCCTATCTGCCGATTTAGATGTGGATTTCCCACCCCTGGAAAAGGGCTCCAGCCTGTGGTCATCAATATCCCGCATGGATTTCACGGGCTCAGGTTGCCTGCGGCCCGACTGACCCCATGTCCCCAGCACCGCCGCTGATGTCCCCCTCACAGCTCACAATCGGGGCATGCACGTCCTCGCGCTCCGGGGACTGCTCTGATGTTTTAACGCTGAATTACACACGGGAGGCCAGCATCACATCCCTGGGCCACTGCTCTAAGACACACTGCGAGAAGAGCAGTGTCTTCGTCTCCACGCAAGAACCGGGGGAGATTTCTGGGGTTTATCAGAAGCAGCCCAGGACACACAACTCAACTAAAGAAGAAGTACAGTACCCATTTCTGTATAAGAATATATTATTTAAAAGACAGCTTAAAAATAAAAATTCTGTACAGCATCGTGAAGTCCTTTTTTTTTTCTGTATCAGTGAACAAAACGGTTCTTAGAAAATGTGATCTTGTGATGTCAGGTGCTCAGAACCAACTCTTCCCTGCACGGAGGATCCCGCAAAACTCAGCTGGTCGGGTCCAGACAGCATCCTGCCGGTCTCTGCTTTCTTCACGCACAGTCTGCTTGGAAAAGGAGAAAGAATGCTGGTTTGTGTCTGTGGGACTGGAAATGTGCAGGCAGTGCCACAAATCACACACAGACAAGGAGCACGTCTTCTGTCCCAGAACTCTGCTCGTTTAATCACTAAACAACAGGATGACTGGATGAAGATGTGGTATATATACATATAACAGAACACTACTCAGCCATAAAAAAGAATGAAACAATGCCATTTGCAGCAACACAGATGGACCTAGAGATTATCATAGCCAGTGAAGTACATCAGAGAAAGACAAATATCATATGATATCACTTATATGTGGAATCTGGAAAAATGATACAACTTTTATTTACAAACCAGAAATAGACTCATGGACACAGAAAACAAACTATGGTTACCAAATGGGAAAAGGTGGGGAGGGATAAAATAGGAGGTTGGGACTAATAGATACACACTACTATATATAAAACAGATAAACAACAAGGACCTACTGTACAGCACGGGGAACTCTATTCAATTTTTTGTAGTAAGCTATCATGGAAAAGAATCTGGAAAAAAAAGTATGCGTGTAACTGAATTGCTTTGCTGTACACCTGAAACTAACATTGTAAATCAACTGCAGTTCAATTAAAAAAATTAGTAAAAAACTCAAGCAACAAGAGGAGTGGGATTGTCACCTCTAGTTTAGAGACGGGGGCTGTGGCTCAGAGAGGTTCAGACGCCTGCGCACGTCACGCAGCTTGTGATTAGCAAAGCCCGGACTCACAGCAGGGACTGTCGGACGCCGGGGCTGTCTCTGCTCCTCCCCAAAACCACACCCAGTCCTCGCGCCCCGTGCCTTGAATGTTTTCTGAGAATCTCTCAAACGATCCTCAGGCACGTGGGTGGCTGGCCTCGTCTCGCGGAGGCCGAGGGGCTGGTTGCTTTCTGCCTGGACTAACTGAACGGCCAGTCCCCAAAGGGCACCGGAAGGGCTTGCAGTGAGGAAAGCAGAAACTTTATTTTTGAAAAGCCTTCAAACAGTGCTTTCCCTGGCAAGTGGTGCACCTGTGATCACTGATCTTCCTCTGTTTCCTAAGGCCTTTCAGAGCCTAATGCTAATAAGTACGCAAGGAAGCAAAGCTTCACTTATTTAAGAAGATTCCGTCATTCAGGTTCTGTCCCTTCCCCCTCTTCCCTCCTTCCTTCTTCCTGGATTTCTGTGCCGTCCCCATCTGGGTCTGAATTACGTAAGCATTGAGACATCTTTCGGAACAGCCTTACCTTCACTCTTTCTCACATCTCTGCTTTTCTCTCTCGACTTGGTGCCCCCGGATGTCAGGCTGTCAGCCTTCTGCGGGAACCAGGGCGGAGGATAAAAAGGCCAAAGTCAGGCTCCAGGAGACAGTGTGTGAGTGACCACCTGTCTGCTTAAGAGCTTCCTGGGACTGAAGATGCTAAGATGTGTGAGGCCACTGAGGTCTACCCCTGGCGAGCCAACACACACAGTGTGAGCATCCCAGACATGGCTCTGCACCGCCAGCCACTGTCCCCGCGGCTGGAGGCCCCACCGGCCCGACACCGTCTGGACTTGGACCGCGAGCCCACGCTGGCCGCCACGGGCAGCCCTGGTGCACCAGGGGCGGGGGGAGCCCATGCCCTTTCACCTCTTTTGTGGGTCTGTTCTTTCTGGGGACAGGAAGGGGCCCTGGAGGGTCCTTGCAGCCCTGCTGGGACCTGGAGACTCAGGGCCTCCGTGGGGATGGCGTGCAGCTGGCCGGGGATGAGGGGAAGGGGGTCAAGCCCCTTTAGCCTCCGGTCAGCCGCGGGGCGGGGAGACGACTCGGCCAGGGGACATCTCCTCTTACATCCATTCTCTTCGTCATTTGCTCTTAGACGTTCAGAGTTTCCGAACCTGTCTGACTTTCTGGGAGAAGAATCCAACTAGAGAAATCGGTCGCCGGCCTGGATCGCTGAGCGACCCGTAAGCCTGTACGGAGCGGCACAGCGTGTCCTGCATCTCATGCACAAAGGAGGTTGAGGGGCGAGGGCGACACGGGGGGTTCCGCGGGGCAGGGGCACGGTGGGAGATGCCATGAGCATGCAGCCCCCAGACTGACTGACGCCTGAGGATGGATAACAGTAACCCCTGTGACACCGCCCTGTGACCTCACCGTCAACCAATCAAGGACTGTGCCTGAGCTGATCCCTTACCCTGGGACGCCCCGCCCTCACCTCGCCTTTAAAAATGCTTTGCTGAAACCCACTGCCCTGGGCTCCTTGGCGGCTGCTGTGGACACGGCACTTTCCTTCACCACAACCCGGGGCAGCAGATTGGCTTCACTGCGTTCAGGTGAGTGGACCAAGTTTGGTTTGGTACCAGCACGGGGGTCAGGGGGGCCCTGGAGTCGGGGGGATGCTGGCCAAGGCCAGACGGGGACAAAGCACCGGGCAGCAGGGAGGCTGTTCCAGCTGCATCGGGGGCTTGGAGGGGGGGTGGGGACGGTGGATGGAGGGGAGGCCACACCTGAGGGCTGCAGACATCACGGTGGGGGTCTGCGGTGATCTCAGGCGGCAGGGGGCCTGACGCAGCTCTGCACACACTGGGGTCCTGACTTGGCCAGACCAACTCTGGGGGCTTTTGGGAAAACCTCCACTCCAGCTCTGAGCCGTGAACTGACCCCTCCCTCAAACACAGGACCCATCCCAGCAGCAACCTAGAGCCAGAGCCAGTCTCCTGACGCTCTTTGCGGGTGCCATGTGTGGCTGGGTCCCGAGTGGCAGCTTTCCCTGTGCCGGGGCGGGGCATCTCTTCCACTGCCCTCCCTCCGAACAAGGTCGCCCTGAGGAGGAGGAGGAGGACAGGGACCCCGCGGGGCCGGGGCGCTGCTCCGAGGGAGTGTGAGCAGCCATGAGGCTGTGATCCCACGAGGACCATCGCAACCGTGGGCGACTCCCTCCGGGACTTTGCATTCCACGCAGCATGGTTTCCCCGAAGACAGAGTCCCTCGTCTGACCCGGCCCGGCTTTTCGGTGGGACGTACGGGCTCTGGCCCCGAGGGCCTCTCGCCGGTGCGGCCGGCCGTGTAGGCCCTGTGCACACTCCCGTCTCACCTCCTTCATGGCGTCGTCTATTTGCTTCAGCTCCTCGTAGCGATCTCTGGATTCCCACAGGGGCTGCAGCATGAGCTCCTCGACTGCAGGGAAGAGCTGGGAGAGACGCAGACGGATGCCATCAACAGTCCGTCCTCCTTACGGAAAACACGTGAGCAAAACCGCGCCAGGCCCCGTGCGTCTGGGGGGACCAGCCGCACAGGAAACGTGCTTCTGTCCAAGGGGACCTTTGGAGGCTCCTGGGCCGTGGCTGTGGCAGAATCCAAGGTGCCCAAGGTTTGATGCCATCTGGTCAATGGCTCCTGGAAGCCCTCCTGGATGGAGCCCACGCGGCTGCCACCCACGCATCTGAGCTGTTTCCTTCTCTCATGTTTTCCACGTAGACCTGGCAGAAGCTGCTCCCCTCCTTCTGCCTCCTGGGACTCCCGACTGTCCATCCTGCAGACTCTCATCATCCAAACGCCAACCTCACCCACTAGCCCCCGACAGCCCTGTGGCCGGAGAAGCGAGGCCATCCCCCTGGGGGGCCCCGGGCCCCGGCTCTGCTCACACCACATCCCAGGCCGGCCCTGTGGCTCTGCCTCCCTCCTGCAGCTCCCGCTGTGCTGGGCCCACCTGGCGAACATCCATTTGTCTTTAAGACTCAGCTCCGAGGGAGCTACTTGCCCCCTCACCTGCGACCTCCCCAGCCCCAGGGAGGCATGCCCCTGGTATCCCTGTCCCACGGAGCCCTGGGCACATAGCTCTCAGCTGCAGTGCTCCCAGGCTTCTCCAGCCCCAGCTCTGCTCCTGCGGCTGGAGGAGAGCAGGCCCGTCATCCCCTCACTGTGCCCCTGCACCTGCCGGCCCAGGCGAGGTCTGTGGTTGTGGAAGGAACGCTCATACAGGAAGGCAGGTTCTTAAGAGAAGCGACAGAGTGGTGGAGTTTGAGGAAGGACACATTGAGGCAGTTATGGAAGGCCACTGGGGATGGCATGGGGCGCCTGAGCTCAGAGGTGGAGGTATATAAAAGGCGAGACCAGGAGCTGTGGGCCGTCCTGCGAGATGGAAGTGCCAGGGAGGGTGGGGGACTGTGCACAAGGTGGGGTGGCTTGTCTTGTGTTAGGGGCAGTGGGGAGCCACGGAAGGTTCAGGAGAGAGGCAGAGACCATCTCCTGGCTGAGGACTAACCTGGCGACAGCCCTGTGCTGGGTGGGGGGGGGGTGAGATGGAGGCGCAGGCAGGTGAGAAGGGTCTTCTGAAGGCAAGCATGAGAGGCCCCTGGGCGGCGCCCTGGGGCAGGGAGGGCCTGGGGTGGCTCCCAGAGACACCATGGACGAGGGTCTCTTGGCTGAGGTGGCTGAGGAAGGGGAAGCCGTGCGGCTCTGTGGCTTTGCTGCTGGCGTGGCCGGCGGGGCAGGAGGGATGGGTGGGGAGGTGAGAGGGGAGTCTGTTTTGGACATGCTGGTGTTAAGGTGGGGGGGGGACTTCAGGTGGGGCACTGGGCAGGTGGCCCAAGCACACGTGCGTGTGTGCACACACACATGTACTTCCCATCCTCGGGTCACCAGCTCGTGGTGATGGCGGCTCACCTTGGTCACCGTTTCGAACATTGGGATCAGGACGAACTTGATGAACCCAATTTGGGCTGTGGCTTTGGTCACTTTGTCCCGGTCCATGAACGGGGCGACAGGCAGGCCCTCTGACTTCTCGCGGTCGCTCTGCGGGGAATGCAGGAGACACGACGTTAAAGACAGAAAACCATCCGAATCTGGAAGCTTTCAGGGTCAACATCCCGCGAGAAAGAGGAAACAGCTACCAGGCCAGGGGGACCCGCCGCGCAGCCAGCACCTCGGCGGCCACGGGGGAAGAGGACGCCGCCTTGCGTGCTGCCCAGCTGGGCCTGCAGGCTTGTGCCGGGGTGGGGGTGGG